TGTTCTGACAGACGTTCTCGTTCTCTGACAGAGGTGTTGATGCCACTGATGTTTTAGTGTTCTGACACAGGTTCTGTTATCAGGAAATATGTTCTGGTATTCTGACAGAGGCTCTCATGGATAGATACTTTATTGATCCCACAAGGGAAATGTTCGTGTTACAGGAGCCGGATTAAGAGTCCAGTCTACAATACACAACAAGACACAACACACTTAAAGGTGCCATCTTATACTATAAGATTTAATATATTACAACAGTGTTAAAAAAGTCCAAATAAAGTTAGTTAAACATGGTAAAAGTAAAACTGACATTTTATAACAGAAGTGCAAACTGCATTCAAAAACTTTTTGTGCACTACCAGTCGAACGTTTGGACACACCTTCTCATTGAATGGTTCTTCTTTATACAAAAAACCGTGTTTTAGATTCTTGGTAACATCCAGCCTTTGCTCACTCTTCTCATTCTCTCCATGAGCTTCATGAGGTCATCTCCTGAAATGGCTTTCCAACAGTCCTGAAGAAGTTCCCAGAGATGCTGAGCACTTGTTGGCCTTTTGCCTTTACTCTGCGCTCCATCTCATCCCAATCCATCTCCACTGGGTTTAGGTCAGGTGACTGTGGACATCACTCTCCTTCTTGGTCAAACAGCCCTCACACAGCCTGGAGGTGTGTTTGGGCTCATTGTGCTGTCCTGGCATGTGTCTGCAGGATGCTGTGGTAGCCATGCTGGTTCAGTTATTATGGTTCTTGCCATAATATGAATTCTAACAGTTGTCAAATAGGGCTGTGTTTGACAACTGTGAACCCTGACAGGCACACCTGTGAGGTGAAACCATGTCAGGTGACGACATCATGAAGCTCACTGAGAGAAGGCCGAGGGTTTGCAGTCAACAAAGCAAAGGACGGCTACTTTCAGAATCTAAAATATAAAACATATTTAGTGTTTTATCAATCTTTCTTTGCTACATAATTCTATAAATCTCGATGCATATATTTGATGTTTGTATCTACGATGTGTAAAGTAGTAAAAATACAGAAAAACCATTCAATGAGAAGCTGTGTCCAAACGTTCGACTGGTGGTGTAAATGTAAGAAAAACAGCTGTATGACGCTGTAATACAGTGACAGGTATGTTCACGTAGAAGGAAGATTCATTATCTGTGAGGTCAAATCAAGGTCAAGTTTATTTATGTAGCACATTACCAACAGTCCATGCTGCACAAAGTGCAAGTGTAAAATACCACTAAAATAAGAAGCACAACAGTGATGCATAAAACATGGAAGAGAGGAAAAATAAATAAAACAAGTAAATAAAAACAACAACTAAGGCTGTTAAAACCAAAATGTTCAACGTGTGTTAAAAGCCAGACCATGAAAATGTGTCTTTAGTGATGATTTAAAACGTTAGTGTTTGTGCAGGTCACATATTAAGAGGAAGACTATTGCAGAGTCTGGGTCCTGCCACAGAGACGCCTCTGTCACCACCACACTTTAGTCCAGGAGTAGTTAAGCTTAGTTCTGACCTGGACCTCACGTTCTTCCTGGAGCATAAACCAACAGGAGCTCAGACAGGTGAGAAGGGGCTTGTCCGGTTTGTGATTTAAAAACAAAAAGTCAGATTTGGCTCCTGTGAGGAACAGGGAGCCAGTGAGAGGCCAACACTGGGTCACAGGCTGCTTCAGGTTAGTGCCAGTCAGCAGACGAGCAGCTGCATGTTGGACCAACTGGAGACGATGAAGAGAGGCCTGGTCCAGTTACCAAAGTACAGAAAACTGCAGTAGTTCAGTCTGCAGCTAATGAACACATGAATAACATGTTCAAAGACATCAGCTGGAAGGTGTGGCTTTGCCTTGCACTGGACTACTGCGCTCACCTGCCTACACCCAAAGGCTGCTGTCAGGTCCAACAACAAGAATCCAGAGTTGAGGGAATATCATTAACAACCCTTCAAAGTCTCAGTGTTGTGTACTGATTTAAAACAAGATTGAAACTTTTCATCGATCTCAGTAAGATCGAGGTGAGCCTGCAACTGTAAACTGTAAATAGACCAGTTTCTCCAGAACTTTTGAAAGAGAGGGAAGCTTTGAGATTGGCCTGTAATTGGACAGAACAGTTGGGTCCAGATTGTGATTTTTAAGACGAGGCTGAACTATAGCTTGTTTAAAACATGATGGGACGCAGCCTGTAGCAAGTGTTGATTGTGGATAAAAGCCCAACAGTATTAAAAGTATTTTTAAGCAGACTTGGAGGAAGCCGATCTGATGTGCAGTGTGATGATCTTCGGTGATGAACTACCACAGACAGTTCACTCAAACTGAGACAGCTGAGCACACAGGAGGAACACTGAGGTCTGAGGCAGTGGGCGACCAGACATAAGAAACTTTATCAGTAAAAATGCAGAAAAGTCATCAACTACACATCTGACATCACCACATGGACTACAAATAGGAGTAAAACATTATAAAGTACCTGAGGCTGTTTGTGGACACCAGGTTTGAGACAAGCTGAGTGTTTGCAGTCTGTGCAGCCTCTTGGTGAGCAGAGACACAAACATGAAGCCTATCGTTTTTCCATCTCCTCTCAGCGTGTCTGCAGTCACGCCTAAGGCTGTGGTATGTTCATTCAGCCATGGCTCTGATAATGGCTTAGCACGCACAGTCCTGAGTGGAGCGATTCAGTCCGAGATATCAGTGCAGGTTGAATTAAAGATGTCAGAACGTCCTCAGCGCTTTCACAGCTGGAGTTCATTTTTCCACAAACCATAAATGCAACAGAAAATTTAGGTGCTATCAAAGTATTAATGGCTCGTCCTTTGTGGGCTGCAGTGCACGGCTTATCCACAAACAGCCCAAAGTTAAAGTGAACAACTCAGGAAAATGATCAGAGACGCATAGAGCAGGGCGATATGACCAAAAATATTTATCACGATATACATTTGAAAATTTATTTATGTATATTTATATATTTGAAAATGTGTGATAACAATATAACTGATGCAAGACAAAATACTTTACAACTCCACAACTTTATTAGTGCAAAAACCCCATTAATGTATTTTCACTTAAACAAGCACCTGTTTTTTATGTGAATTAAAGCTGTGTAACAATGTAACAGTGCAAATGCAAATTCCTCGCAGACGGTTTAACCAAAAGGCATTTCCAGTGGACATGGGCTGACATGTGCTGAGCATAACCATGTATAATATCCACACAAGTTAAAAACTGGCGCTTTGCAACATGAAACTGCAGTGTGCCAAATAAACAAGTCAAATAGGTATTTTTCAGACCATGAGGTGCTCGGGATTATAAGAACACCAAACAGTCAAACTTTACTCCTTCTTCTTGCTTCCTCCACTTCTGTACCATTGATTCATGAATGTTGAATTCTGTCACAGCTGCTCTATTCCCATGTTCTACTGCATGACTGATAAAGAAATCCACTTCATAAGCATGTCTCTTAACAGGAGCCATTTGTGGTCCTTATACACACAATACGGTAATATTATGTTGAAGCACAGTACGTATCACTCCGCGAGGCTCCGCCTACGATAGCCGTAATGCTCCGACATCAAGCGGTGCGGCTTCGTAGCTTAGGAAAGTCGTACTGAAACATCTGACAGATTTTCGAGCGCCGTGCACATAAAATCGTCTCGAGGTCAGTAAACACAACCAGAGTTCATACATAAGGCACACGGGATTATAAGGGGCTCTGTCGACTTTCAGAAAAATCAAAGGATTGATTTTAAGTGTGCCGTATTTTCCAAACAACACGGTAATAACGACGGCCCGCTAGCATGCGCTACCAAAAATAGTGCTTTGTTGTGTATCTGACGGTCGAAAGCTAAACCAGTTCCACACCAGTGAAGCTGCATTTTTACAAACCAGTTCTGGTTCATCTTTTTATTCAACGATCCACTTTCGCTCTTCTCGTTCTGCGTCGCCGCCATGTGCGTATGTAAACAAAGGCACTGTGCATGTACGTTTTACCCATATTCTATCGCAATGTTTCATTTTCTTATCGTTGCCCAACATTATACTGGTGTTACCGTGAACGGTATGATATGGCCCAGCGCTAGCATTTACCATTTACTCTCATAATGACTCTGAGGTTTGTTGAATTTCTCAGGTTAACCCTGATCATGTGTTGCTAACCTGGAATTCAAACGTGAGGCCAAGCAGTGTTGCTGCCTTGCTCGTGTGAGAGAATTGAACCTGTTCCTTAAATTTAGAGCTGCATGTGGAACAGACACAAAGTGTTCCTTCGTGCTTCCTTCCTTTCTTGGTGTGTTGATGACTCGTATAGCTTACGTCAGGATAAACTGCAGTATGGGGATTTATGGGAATGTTGTCATTATGACCATATAGGGCGCTGGCTCTGGTTTCAGGAGGAAGAGACACTGAAAAGCAGAAATAACGTTTCTGCATTTAAGGAATCGTATTTCGAGCAGCAGTTTTTACATCCGAGTCCCTCAGAGTGGAACAAGCACCTGTCTGTAATCATCACTGATCACCTGCTTCGCCTCGACTCCCTTCTGTCTGAACACCCAGCCCTCCCTTCATGTCACTCTTGGTTTTACATATTAGGCTTAAAAGCATGTTGGAGGTGAGGGTCATTGCAGTAATGTGTCTTAATGTGAAAGTCTTTGGAAGCCTCTGGAAAGAAAGCTGTGCTGGTTTGTTTGAAGTCTCTTGTGAACTTTAAATAACGCCACCTCTCAGATAGCCGCCGGAGGAGCAGGACGGCCTTTTCTGTCTTCCTGTTGCCAGTTGGTACACACTTCCTCTTCCTGTGTCTTTCTTCATTATGTCTGTTGCTTACTTCCTCTTTTTCAGACTGCTCATCTTCTTCCCTTCTGTCTGTTTCTCCTTTTGTCTTGTGTTTCTAGCACTCCGGCCATCTTTGCCTCGCCGATGCGTACGTGTGCGGGCTTTTATCAGACGATGCTGCTTCATCAGCCTGTTAACGTAAAGGTCATATTCACTCAGAGAACCGCAGCAGTGATTCAAGATACAAGAACTTTGTTGTCAGTACAACAGTATACACAGTACGCAGCGTACTGAAATGCCCTTTCACCCCCCCATGGTGCATTTATAAGAATATAAAAGATAAATCTCCAAGAGATATAAATCTAGGAATTACAAAAAAATAGTAACTTATAAAAGGTACTATTACTAACTATACAACACTAACTGTACAATAAACAAAGGACAGAGGCAATACGAGTTGTGCAGCAGGTATTGAACACAATAACTGGAAGATGATGATGGAGACAGATTGGACAGTACGTGACGCAGATGTGGGACTGACGGAGAAACTTGTGATAACCCGACATTACCTGAGAGGACGATCACTGTGACTCTGTGTTACCCAACATGTAAGCGAGGAAACTGCTAAAGAAAAGTTCCACCTCCTCTCCGTTCACAAATAGACACACAAACATCGTGTAGTTCTTCACAAATACACATGGAGTCAGCCCGTGACTCATCCCGGTGCTTCCTTAACGTGAGGTCAGTGGTTTGATCCCTGTTCCTTCGTCCTGGATGTTGTCCTTGTCTCCTGAACACAGAGGTTTCCTGTGCGCTGGTGTGTCAGGGTGTGAATATAGAAAAGCTAACAGCAGTGAGGGTCCGTTTACAGCCTTAACCCTAACCCCCCCCATTCTCAGCTTTTCCTATTGAAAGTGATGAAGAGCGGTGGCATGATGGCTGATCACTGACTCTAACCTTCAACAGAACTTCTTCCTTCCAGAGTTGGAGAAAAAGTATTTTCAGAACCAGAAAGTTACTCGTTTCTTTCTGTCCATGTGTTACAGTGGAAACATCCTCAGCTCCACCTCTGATGGTGGGTGAAGTTCTCGTCTTCACGGAGACTTTGCATGAAATCACGGTGCACAAAAACTTGACTGTGTTTGCCTGAATGGTTCGTTAACTGGAATCTGATGAACTGGATTAAAATCTGACTGTTTAGTACAGGTGTCATTGCTCCCTCTGCTGCTTTCTTGGTCATGTGGTTTTACACTCGCCACACTCACGTCCTCCAAATGTTTGCAACTAATTTAATGCATCAGGAGCTCGTTCATCTCTGCTGTTCGATGTGTGAGGTTTAACCCTTTATCGACGATGGGCCCGCTGACAGGCCCATTTTACAAGCGCTCTTTAAACGACGGTAACTCAGTCATCGTTTATGCTAGAGAGAAA